GACGCGCGGTCAAGATACTGAAGGCTGGTGACTGTGTGACGCTCGGATGGTTCAACTCGTTCACGTTCTCTTCAAGTGCTCTTTGGTTCCGACACATGTCTTTATTCCCTTTCGGTTCGCTTTGGGTCTCTGCTTTGCATCTGCATCTGGATATTCACGCTGACACACACATATGTATTATCTTATCTGTACCGTATTGACCACACCTTAGTGCATGCCATCATCATCATGTTGTCCCAGTCCTCCCCCTGTTATCGTACGCTACTCTGTCCATGTACATATTGTTGCACTGCTCTGTGCTCCTCCAATCGCAAAAGCGTTTGTTCCACATTTCAGCTCGGATGTGGTTTCGTACCCATCCGTCGCCCGCGGTGGTGAGGTGCGGGCGGATACTACGAGCCAGGCAATCGGCCTTCATACCCCTCAGGCCTCTGCAGCTTTACTACTTACTACCAGTATTCTCCCCTTGGATTCCGACCAGGCATTGACGTTGACCGGCATGGACAACACCTACCTCCCTATCGGCGGCTGCGAACACATCATCGACGCATGCCTTCAACGGGTACCGAGTATTCAAGCTTTACTGTAGACAAGCCCACTCTAATTCCGTAGCTACTGAAGCGATGCTGGCAAAGGTCAACTCATGGCTGACACAGCGGGTACCGCGATGGTTGCAGATCTGAGATCTGAGCAGTCGAGCCTAGTGAGTGAACCGTACCCTACCGTACCAGATCTCATCGAGTACTATGTTTGTGCGGTGATTGACTTGCATATATTTCAGACGACCGGTCATGCTCCCGTCAATATATATATCAACGTCGCGATTGTAATTATTGATCATCCACTTGCCTATCATGCTCGACTCACACGTAGCACCTTGTCTTAGCCCTCTCGATTCGTGTATCAGCCCTGCGTGCTGCTATTCCGATTCATGCAAACCCGTGCACTGGTATGCGATGTTCTAGAAGTTCATAAGGATTGCCGTTGCAGGCCAGAGCGCGAGCGACTCGGCTTGGTACCTGCTACCTAAAGTACGGACTGTCGAACCGGGCAACAAGCTCCGGGCGTTCGTGCAGCAGCTCGTGGACAGCGCTCTTGAGCGCGACGTGGGTGATCCTAGCACGAAGGAACAACTCGCCAGCACGTCTCCAGCTGAGGCGATCCCGAGAAGAGTGTCCGTCTTGGTCTTGGTCCAGCCAAACGAGCGTACTTACAATCCAGTCCGGCACTGCTCGCAGAGCTGGACGAAGGTGGTGTGATTACACCTCCCGTCGACCGGGGTAAGCTTCCTTGATCGCCGTGACTATGTCGAGGACGATGACAAACTGCTAGCGCTCAAAGGGGAGGTGCGAGACGCTCCGCTGCCATTCCGCGCGTGCGTTCTTGTCGAGGTCGTCGTCGTTCGTGGCCATGCTGTCAATATTATTTTGTACATGCTATCGTCAGTGTGTCCGCGTGTGAACACGCTCACGAAAAGGCTCCACGGAGGCTCTCGTGGGTGGACGGGGACTTGATTACTTCCTAGCCGCTGAGTAGGGGAGTGTGGGGTGAATGCGGGTCTGTCGGGCTGGTGTGCGAGCGGGGGCACTCCGCGATGCAACCCGATATAACCGGGGTAGCCAGCAACACTATGTTATCCCAACTGAGACCGAACACGGTACATCTGTACCGCCTTGGAGCCTAGGATGCCAGAAGATCAGTGAGCATCGCGCAGGATAGCAGGTCGTGCGTGAACAATTCGGGCGTCGGCCGGTGTACGTCGCTAGAAGGTCAAGTATTTGCATATTCTTGGACATAGCACAATGGGTACCTCCCAGTTCCCGGGATCCGCTAAGAGCGGGATATGCGAGCGTTAGAAGCGTTGTACGAGCCGTTGGGACACGGAGTGCAGTGAACACGTGAATTGGTTGGACTCACTCACTGTACGTAGGTGTGTTGCTCGTTATTCATTAACGTCAAGCTGATTTGGCCATCAAGCATTGAAGCTCGAGCGCGGTACAGAGAGAGGAGAATCGCATATGTTGCTGGCCCACAGACTCGGTATAGAGCTCCGGATGTGAAGACACTAGCAATTTGCAAAGCTTCAGTTGGCTCTTCGACCGGTGGTTCTCGCGAAGCAGAAGCAGAACGACAGAGTGATTTGTCTTGCAGATACTGAGCAGCCACAGACGGCAGCAACGCATCAGGGTTGCGCAGGGTTTGGATTGGGGAGATTGTTCCCATGTCGGCCAAAGGAGGGCAAGAGAGAGGCTAAAGGTCGGGAAGAAGAGAAGGAGCGCGCGATTCGAACGCGAGTCAATTGGTGCACGTGCACGTGACGTACCCCTCGTGGCGAATCTTTCAAGAGGGTCCTGGCTTGGTTTATAGCACCAGCCCTCGATTTTTTTTCGATGTTTCGTCTTCTCTCTCGCCCCCTCCGCGTCTCCCCTCTCCGACTCTCCCAGTTCTCCAGAACGATGGCCAACACTCCAGACTACGTTCGTTGCCCTGATCCCCTTCTCTCGCCGCTCCCATACTCACCCCTCGTTGCAGAACAAGGTCCTCTACACTCCTCTCGCGGAGGTCGACCCCGAGGTGCAGAACATCATCGACAAGGAGACATGGAGGCAGTTTTCGGGTCTGGAGCTCATCGCGTCCGAAGTCAGCTACTCGCTATTCCCCTTCGACGCATCACACTTATCTCGAGGTGCAGAACCTGACCAGCCGTGCTACGATGGAGGCCAACGGCTCCATCCTCACCAACAAGTACTCGGAGGGTCTTCCCAACGCCAGGTACTACGGTGGGAACGAGTACGTCGACGAGCTTGAGCTCCTCTGCCAGAAGCGTGCTCTCCAGGCCTTCCACCTCGATGCCGCCAAGTGGGGCGTCAACGTCCAGCCATACTCTGGAAGTGTACGTAACTCCTCCCGCATTCGCCTGCCCGACATGACGTGAATTTGACATATCCTCTCACAGACCGCCAAGTGTGTCTCTCCTGATCGCTCCGGCGGGAACGTTTACTGATAACATGCCATTAGCTTCGCTGCACTCACGGCCCTCATCCAGCCTCAAGATCGTTTGATGGGTCTTGGTCTTCCCGATGGCGGTCATTTGACGCACGGCTACTACGTATGTCACACCATCCTGTCCTTTTTCTGTTCAGTCAGATTCTCAATCAAATTCGTGCTCGGTACTGCAGACGGCGAAGAAGAAGATGACGGCTTCCTCGATCTACTTCCAGTCGCTCCCGTACGCTCTCGACCCTGCTACCCAGCTCATTGACTACAAGAATGTTGCGTCGCTGGCGAAGATCTACAAGCCCCGTCTCATCATCTGTGGTGCGTCCGCATACCCGCGAGACTGGGATTACAAGACCCTCCGTGAGATCTGCGACGAGCACGGTGCCTTCCTCATGGCCGATATCGCCCACACGAGCGGTCTCGTCGCGGCAGGCGAGCTCGCGGATCCCTTCCAGTACTGCGACGTCGTCACGACTACCACACACAAGACCCTCCGTGGCCCTCGTGCCGGTCTCATCTTCTTCAGGAAGGACCTCGAGAAGGTTAAGGACCTTGAGAAGCGCGTGAATGACGCTGTCTTCCCTGCATGCCAGGGTGGTCCGCATAACAACGTACGACCTCTTGCTAACCTCGTATGACGTTATTCGTACTCACCACGCATCGCAGACTATCGCTGGTATCGCGACTGCGCTCCTCCAGGCGTGCCAGCCAACATGGAAGGCATACGCGAAGCAGGTCATTGCCAACGCCTCGACGCTCGGCCAGGAGCTCGTCTCCCGTGGATACAAGCTCCAGACGTCTGGCACGGACAACCATCTCGTACTCTGGGACCTCCGCCCTCTCGGTCTCACCGGCAGCAAGCTCGAGAAGCTGTGCGACCTGGTTGGAATCACCATCAACAGTACGTTTCTCTCCGCTCTATCGGCGCTTTACGTATCCTCGCTCCGCCCACGCTGACCCTGTCCTCCGCACCCCGCAGAGAACGCCGTCTCGGGGGACGCGTCTGCGCAGGTGCCCGGCGGCATCCGGCTCGGGACGGCCGCGCTGACCTCGCGCGACATGACCGAGGCGGACATGAAGGTCGTCGCGGACTTCCTCCACCGCGCGGTGCAGCTCTCGCTCGTGCTCCAGAAGGAGGCGGGCAGCAAGCTCCTCAAGGACTTTGTCCGCGTCGCGACGACGCCCGAGGAGGGCAAGGTCGGCGCGCAGCAGCTCGCGGTGCTCGGCAAGGAGGTGCGGGTGTTCGCGCGCAAGTGGCCGCTCCCCGGTGTCGACGTCTCGACGCTCACGCGCCCTGCCGGGATCGAGGAGGACGAGTGAGGTGCGCTGCGTTGATGAATGCTGCTGAGGCTGTCGGGTATGTTTGTGCTAGGCTTGATTGTATCATATGCTGGTGATGCTTAGGGGGCATGCAAGATGCTGCCTCGGGCAGCGTTGCCGGACGGGGCGGGACCATCGTAGAAAGTAAAATAGATTAGTCGGGTATTCAACATAATCCGGCCCTCCCAGACACTCAACATATCTGGGTCGTTACATTTGTATTAGTAGATTCCACTCTATCATGACAACACACATTGTATCATTCGAAACCTGGGCCAGATTCGAAGGAGAGCGGCTGTATGTACGTACGTCTCGCGATCGTCCCATCCGTTCTGCCTCTTGGACAATCAATGTCATTTGCTCCTCCTCCTGGTCCGCCTAGACTCGGTTCCAGTCTCCACTATGCACCGTAAGCACACATGCCGATATATAGTGCAGTAGAGGACACTGAGTTACTGTAGTTGGCGGGGGAGCAGTGTTGTGTGGGGGGACGGTGGTACCGGTATACGATCCTCCCCCACACCAAAGGCGGCTCGTGTCAGACTAGGGACAGCCCGAGTATCGAGAAAGTAATGTAAGTGCAGGTGAGAGCCTGATCATAGTGACATCTGTAACCGAGACCAAGATGTACGACTAACCATCTTGATGAAAAAGTGCGGGCAGATAGAAAAAAAAACAGACTGCCCCAGTGAGGCTCGAACTCACGACCTTCCGATTGCATGGGAGTAACAGTCGGACGCTGTAACCAACTCAGCCATGGGGCAGATATTTGTGCCTTTGTAAGAGCCAATATGTATTTCCGGTGCGGTCCTCGGAATATCGCGGGACACGTGCAGGTCGACCATATCGTTGCGGACGCCGGTGTGCTCAAGCCTGTCCTCAACTTTTCGTTTCGTACGCCGGGTCGCGTTCAGCATGCAGCCATCTCTCGTCCGCCGTCAGCTCGGTGGCCTCGTCCCCCCGAAAATCGCCACCCCGACGATCCTTGTGAGTGGTTCACTCGTGTGCGACCGCCTCAGCGCGGCCGGGTGTCCTCGGGAGTGCCAGCACCATCTTCGCTCACCCCGACGCTCTCGCAGTCGTCTGGCACGGGCGGTGGCCTCGGCCCTCTCGTCAACTTCTACTCCAAGCTGCCCAAGGGCCCTGCGCAGGCGGCGACGTCTGGGGGCATCAAGGCGCGGTACTTCAACGGCAAGAACGCGTCGGCCGCGCCTGTGCTCGCCACGATCCTCACCATCTTCGGTATCGGGTACACCATCGACTACCAGAGTGCGTCCTCCTGTCATTTGTTGATAGGTGTGTTTGTTGACGGTGTTTGCTGGGATGGCTGTCTGTGCTATTTGGTTGGCAACGGAAACAGTGCATTTGAGTGAGTGTTATTTTCGTGCGAGATCGTGCTGCGCTGGAGGGCTGGAGCGCCGCTGGACGTTGTTGGCGGGAGTCGTGTTGGAGTGCGTTGCTGATGTCGGGCTGTTTTCGTGTCATAGAGCACCACAAGAACCACGCCCACTAAATGTATGCGGTGACGGAACAGCGGTAGAGATAGATGGCGATGTCGTGTGTTGGCAGAAGGAATTTTCATTCGCTCGTCTACATCCAATACGGCAGCGCTGGGTGACCCTCGCAGTATCCGTCCAGACAACCAGAATCGTCAAGACATGTGCAATGGTGCATGGTCCCCCGCTACGCCATACCCTCTGTCAATCGTCAGGTCAACTACGGAACGGGAGGAATGGAATGTGAGTTTCGAGTCAGTCGTAGTCAAGTCGTGCTGGCACTGGTATGAGGTGTTGCATTTGTCCGTCGCCTGCGCCATGCTGGATCGAACCGTTTCATTGCATCCTCAGTCTTCCTGACCGCCGGGCGCATGGCCGACGACGTTGATCGTCGAGCGTCAGTGATGGTGAACCCCCCCTGACCATCCGTACCGCATCATCTCAACGATTCTTTCATGGGGCAATAGAGCTGATTTGCACGCGCTGTAGCGCCGAAAAGCTTGGAGCTGTTTTTGCTGCAGTGTGGCGCGAAAATGTGCCTGCACCACAGCAGAACGATGCTGCTGGGGCTGCTGCACCCTTGCTGCACCCACTCGCCGTCGTCGGCGGGCTGTTAAAGTTGTGCTGACTAACTGTAGTGCACCATCCTCAGAGCGCCCGCTGCAAATCAGCTCTAATGCGACGAGGTTGACGCTGCATGCCCAACCCTTCTTTCAAACGGGATATTTTGGGAAGACTTACGGAACGCGGTGATTAACAGGTCGATTAAGACGAATCTTCCCGCTCCGTAGTATAGTATTTCAGGTTGGTCCGCCCAGGTCCGCCGCCCTCACATCATAGATGCTCATTACCGCTTGCTTGGTGCTCGCCTAGGATCAAGAAGCAAGGTAAGAACAGGACCCGACTCCACCGCGAGTGAACCGTTCTTTGTGCAACGTTCGCGTCATTCGCCGCGTGCATCTATGCGGTTATACATAGCACGCGGCAAAGGGCTCGTGAAGACAAAGACGCGACGTGAACGGGACTTGGGTGCACTGCTACCGGTAGGCGACCCCACTCTGCTCCATCGCCCATGCCTTTGCTCGACAACGGGGGTTACCATCGCAGCGACCTCCTTTTCTCAGCTGCGCGTCCCATCATGCACCCTCGATGTTTGATGTACATAAGCCGGTGGAGCATTCCCTTCCACATATAAGCCCGTCGAGGGCGTTGAGGGGAATCAGAACAACATCCTTGTTCACACCTTTGAGCCCGGTGCTCTTACCCTCTTCACGTCGCCTCATCGTCTGTGCACTTTGTGTCTCTTTCATTCAGCTAGTCTGCTATCGACGTCGCTCACACATCGCTCCTTGAACCACTCCTTCTCTCGCTGATCGTTCGCACACCATCATCATCATGTTCTCCACCAAGTTTACCGCTGTCGTCCTCCTCGCCCTCACGGCCGTCTCCCAAGCCGCTCCCGCGGACTTCAAGAAGCAGAACGCGATCGACGCGCAGGCGCTCAACGCCAAGTTCGCGTCCCTCACCGCATCCTCTTCCTGCACCAGTGAGTGACTCATTGAGCATAATGATACAACCTTCGATGTTAACCACATCTTTCCTCTCTTCCTCCTCTACCTCTATGGTAGCCGGCGACCAGGCGTGCGTCCAGGGAGGTTTCGCCCAATGCACCGACGGCAAGTTCGCCGTGACCCAGTGCGCCGGCGGCACGAGCTGCTTTGCCCTCCCGCTCGTCAACAAGCCCGGCACGTCCATCGCGTGCGATTCCGCTGATGACGCCGCCGCCCGCTTCACCGCCGCTGGTGCTACCGGTGGCGTCGACGGCAAGGGCGGCAGCGGCAAGGGCAGTGGACAGGGCGCAACCGCGACCGCTTCGGGGAGTAACGCGACGGAAACCGGGGCGGCGACCGACTCTGCTGGATCTACCGCTACAGCCACCGACTCTGTTGGATCCGCCGCTACGGCCACCGACTCTGTTGGAGGCACTGCTGCGGTCACCGACTCTGTTGGAGGCACCGCTGCAGTCACCGACTCTGTTGGAGGCACCGCTGCAGTCACCGACTCTGTTGGAGGCACCGCGACGGCCACCGATTCTGTTGCAGCCACTGCAACTACCACCGGCGCGAGCGAGGCTACCGGGACCGCCGGAGAGACGGGCAGCGGGGCCCAGGGCACGGGCGCCGACTGCGCGAGCGCCGTCACCGTCACCGTCACCGTCACTGCCGGCGGCGAGGGCGCGACGGGCACCGCGGGCAACTCTACCGCGACCGCGACCGACTCTTCAGCGGCCACTGCTACCGCCATCGGGACCGGCGAGGCCACTGCTACCGGGACCGGCGAGGCTACTGCCACAGGGTCCGGTGAAGCCACTGCGACGGGGACGGGCGAAGCTACCGCGACGGGGACAGGCGAGGCTACCACAACGGCGATTGAGAGCGCGGCCGCGACCGAGACGGCCAAGTCAAGCGGCAAGAAGGACAAGAAGGAGCCCGATGCGGGTGCAAACCCCGCCGCGCGCCGCTCACGCCTGAACCGCCTCTGAGCCTGCCTCCCGCTCCTCGTGCCCCCATCATCCCCCCTCCCTTCCCCGCATGGACATCGATGAGTGCAGTGCGGATGGCTGGTGGAAAACATGCGCGCGAATGTCTGCGGCGAGACCGAGACGAGCTGCGCTGCGCGCATACATACATGTTGATGCGGCGCCCCCGAAGAAGTGCTCTGGGGCTGCCGACTTGTATACGTCTTGTAGCATAGTTTGCTTCGCTGAATGAAGAACGCCTGCGCGACGCGCGGTGACAGAACTGGGCTGCAATGCTTGAGATGAGTTTGGAAGACGTTATCGAAGATACACAGGGCCGAGGGTCCACTCAAACGTCTCCCGCCATGCCCGTTCAGAGCTTGGTAAATGCGGACATCGATAACAACGAAGTAGCAGAATTCGAAGCTGAGCTCTGAGCTTTGCAGGATGAAGAAGAAGGAGGAGCAGCAGCAGCAGCAGGGCCCTCAAGGCCTCTCATGCTGTTGCAGTGGGATAAGTTTTCGCTGTATGAGTCTGTCAGCTGGCAAGCACCAGGGTGAGCTGGCGGAGGGGTATGAGGCTACTAGTACAAGACCATTTCCGACGATGTCGAGCATTCTGGAGAGGCATGCCAGGTGGAGGTTGCGTTGAATTCCGGACCACACAGCTCGAGGTGTGGTGGTGAAAGGTGCGTCACGGTAGTCGATCAGGAGACGTACATACGCCAGACAGAACGTCGGGCAGGAGATGAAATGCACATTGGTCAATATAGATGAGGTATGTATACGTAGTACAAGCCTGCAAGCGACTCTAACAACAGACGCGCCGTGAGGAGCGGTCGACGCCGAATGTCCGCGAACCAACGCGCGTGCGGGAAGGGAATAAGTTAGGTATAGTAAAGTATACATCGTTGTTAGTGTATGCGCCGGCAGGGCGGAGGGACTGGCAAAATGCTGGGATGGGGTGGGTGCAGGTATCGTAATGCGTGAGGATGCGGTGAGGGAGAGCGATGCGGGTGGAGTGTGCAAAGGCGCTGTAAGATATGGGTGTCGCGAGCATCATGCCAGAAGAGAAATGTGCAAACGTGCACATAAGAGAGAGTTCTATGGAGTGTCGAAGGAAAGGGGGTCCCGGAACGGGATCAAACACGCTCGTACATGCAGATGTACGCCTTGGCCTTGAGGACCTCCTCGAGCGTGGTGAGCTTGACGACGGTGTCGCTAATGTACGCCCACTGCCTCACTGGCCGCTGACTATCTGTCGAGTAGCTCGTGCGCAAATCAGATGCGGAAGCAGTCGATGGAAGAGGGGGAACAGGCTTCTCGGACTCGGAGGAGGGCGTTCCGGAGGCGGAAGAAGGGGTGCTCGCAGGCAAAGCGGTGTACGCTACATAGTGGCCGCCGAGCTACGCAGTGCGATTGACAGTTAGCTCAGCCACGGGAGGTGGAGCGAAGGGCAGATGGACTCACCATGTTGCCGATATGCACCACGACAGCATACAACCGGTACATACAGCGCTCGGGAGGTTGCTTGCTCTTCCTCCTCTCCTTCTCCCTCTCCAACTGGTCGTGCGTGCACTCCTCCCGCTTCGGCGCGAGGAACGGCGCGAGGTCGAGATACTCGGGGAACGCCACGAACTCGTCCAGCTTCTTGAACCCACCCGAGAGAGAGACCGCGTGGTGCTTGGCCGTCTGCTGGAAGCGCTTGAGGTGGACGACGAGGATCGGCGGCGGCGTGCTGATCAGGTACC